CGTTGTTAACCCCAAATGTTATCCTGATATAGTCCTAAGCAATAACGATGGTGTTTCAGTTCCCACATCTCAATGCGCCGATGTCTTAAACCAGGCGTTTTCCTCAGTTTTTACCAGAGAAGACGTTTCATCCGCTCCCATATTGCATAGTTTCAGCAGCCCAGTCATGCTGGAGATTGTTATCAGTGAGGCCGGTGTTCTGTCCCTTTTACAGAAACTAAAAATTTCTTCCACCTTGGATAATATAGGCTTAAATAATAAAATCCTGAAATCTATATCATTCAGTATCACCCCCTTCTTATGCGCTCTGTTTTCACAGTCTTTGTCTACCGGAACTCTACCCCAAGATTGGCTATCAGCTAAAGTCGTCCCCCTCTTCAAATCAGGTGAACGTTCCTCACCGCTAAATTACAGGCCCATTTCCTTAACTAGTACCATTTGCAAACTCATGGAGCATATCATACACACTCAAGTAATAAACTATCTCGAACGTCACAATATCATTTTCAATTTTCAGCACGGTTTTCGCAAGGGATTTTCATGCGACACCCAACTTGCCGGTTTTGTTCACGACCTTCATAAATCCATGGATGCTGGTTGCCAGGTCGACGCCATTTTCTTAGATTTCGTTAAAGCTTTTGACCGCGTTCCTCACCACAGATTACTACTAAAGCTAGAACAACTTAACATTCACCCTATAGTTCTTGCATGGATAAAAGCTTTTCTTTCCTCCAGGTCTCAATTCACCTTTGCTATGAATTTTTATTCTTCCTCTTTACCGGTAACATCTGGTGTACCCCAAGGCAGTGTTCTTGGTCCTCTACTCTTCCTCGTTTACATTAATGATCTAACGAATTCTTTATCTTCACACGTTCGACTTTTCGCGGACGACTGCGTAATATACCGTAACATTTCTTCTGATTCTGACCGCTTAGCTTTGCAATCTGACCTTAACAAAATTAATCATTGGTGTTCAACTTGGCTTATGTCGTTAAATGTTTCTAAAACAAAGTGCATGTCCTTTACTAACGCTGCTACACGTTTTCCTATTCAATACTCGTTGAATAATATGACACTTGAGTTAACATCTACCTACAAGTACCTCGGTCTCCACTTTCAATCGAATCTATCTTGGCACCATCATATAGAACTCACTCTTGCAGCTGCTAACCGGTCTCTCGGGTTACTGAAACGAAATCTTAAACAGGCTCCATCGCAGTTACAAAAACTTGCTTTTACCAGTTTAATTCGCCCTAAAATAGAATATGCCAGTGCCATTTGGGATCCTCATCAAGCCTACATCGTATCAAATATTGAATCTTTGCAAAACCGAGCTGCTCGTTTTATTTACTCAGATTATTCTACCTATTCCAGCGTAACTAACTTAAAAAACCGTGCTGAGCTAGAGGATTTGGCCATTCGTCGGAAATATGCACGCCTATCACTTTTCCACAAACTTTACAATCACCCATCATTACATGACAGTTTCTTTGAACCCGCCTGTTCCATCTTTCCCCGCCGTGATCATCCTAACAAAGTCAAACGCCCGCTATCTCGCACACTTCGTTTCGCTCAGTCATTCATCCCGCGCACTATTATTGAGTGGAACAGTTTGCCTGCACATATTGCCACCGAGAAAGACTCGGTAAAGTTTTCAGAGCTCATGTGCACTACGGTGACTAACTAAATATTTTTTGCTTTTGTTGTTTTGTTTTCTTTCGTTTTTTAACTATTGTATAACGCCATGCAATTGCTGCCCGTATTCATGGTTTGCGCTTTGTTGCGGTTGTCAGGTTGCACTGTATCTTGCTGTAAACCATGTTGTATTGCCCCCCCCCCCCCCTATGTAATACCCTCTTCTAGAGGGCCTTTAGGGGTAACCTGAATAAATAAATAAATAAATAAATAAATAAATAAATAAATAAATAAATAAATAAATTCGGGAACCTACGTCGCCGCTAGCGATAACGCTAGAATATTAGATGGCAAGGGTATAAATGCCGACACACTTCGCCGTTTGTCTGTTGATCGACGGCCGGTGCTCTGCTGGCCGCTATCAATGCCAGTGTCTCGCTTTTCTTTTACGTGGCCATGAGTTCGGCTCAAATAGACAGTTTACTATTCGGCCTGCAACTGCTCCCTTCTTCCACGTCATGATCCTGCGACAATATTGCGGTTTTTGGACGTAAAACACCAAATATTACTGTTAACACTCCAGCGCTATCGCTATCATCCACTGAATGATTGATATATATGTGATGTTTAACGTCCGAAAACCACTATATGATTACGAGAGACGCCGAAATTTCCGGGCTCCGGAAATTTTGACCACCTGGGGTTCTTCAACGTGCACCCAAATCTGAGCACACGGGCCTACAACATTTCCACCTCCATTGGAAATGCAGCCGCCGCAGCCGGGATTTGATCCCGCAACCTGCGGGTCAGCAGCCGATTACCTTAGCCACTAGACCACCGTGGCGGGGCTAGCTTCCACGTAAGTTCCAGAAGAATCTGTAATGTTCCTGTTGTGCTAGTAATCGCATCGGAAGGTTCTACGAATATCTCACTGGTTCTTTAGTGGTTGCGCTAGGCAGCACTTACACGTATAACGGGGCGATATCAAAACTTGAGGAAGGGGCGTGGCAATATTATTGCTAGCCATGTGTTTATATACGTGTATTTTTCGTAACTATATTTATTTAAGTTTAATTATCATACTTTTTATTCTTACCTGAATTGGTAAAATATTAACGTTGTGTTGCACCTCGCCTTAACCCCAAAACCAAGCATGCTTTTTTTTTTGCTAAAAATAGCCATGGTTCTTTTTTTTGAGAAAAAATAAACAAGACCGCGTGAATCAAGGCAAATAGTAAATTAACGCGTGCTCCCGCACCGCAAGTCAAGCGCTTCCGAGGCTTCTAGGAAGTATGAAATATTATGAATTACATGAAATGTTATTTTCCATAATATGGAATATTACAGAAAATACGAAACAGACGCGTGCGCACGTCTGTTTCATATTTGGCGTGGTTCACGTGCTTTCGTTTTTGCTCTGAAGAGACAACCAGGCAGGTATCAGCAAAAAAATAAATGCTTGATTCTGCAGTTAAAAATTAGGCGCATAGTAGTTTGCGTCCCATTTCAACTCGGTTGTATACGTACTTGAAATAACTGCTAGTTTTTCTTTTTTTTTCTTACGATTCTGCCACGCATACGTCATTTCCCTAGCCCGACGTTGGTAGTAGCTTGGCGAATGGGCGTTCACGTTGTCGAAAGCTTCCACGCATAGAGTTTCCTAAAAATAACTAGAGGGGACTCTGGCACTGCGGTCGTTCAGCGACCATGGGAATGATGGGTAGTACACACATTTGCCTAGTCTTCGTACTTGCGGGCGGCGAATCGTACTTGCGGCTTCGTTTGTTGCTGTTCTTCGATTTTGTTATGAAAGAAACATTCAACCCTTTTGAACTTCGTGACCCGATTTGGAAAGGTAAGTCTAAAAGAATAAGGTGGTGAAGCGCAACCGCTGAACATTTGCTAATATTTGTTTCGTGAGAAAACAGCGCCAAGCCACACGAACACACACGGAGCCAAAAGCAGGCCAGAAGTATGAATATTTGACAAATGTGTGTTCTACTCATCATTCCTATGCTCGCTGAAGCGCCGTGCGTTGTAGCTCCCATATACACTAGCGCGAGACTTTTCTCTAGTGTATATTAGGAAACTCTATGCTTTCACGGGCTGGAGCTGGCTAGAATTTAGGTCTGTTTTGTGAGGCATAGAGTTTCCTAAATTAACTGGAGAGGACTCTGTCGCTGTGGTCGTTCAGCGACCATGGAAATGATGAGGATAGTACGCGGATTTGCCTGGTCTTCGTACTTGCGGGTGGCGGATCGCACGTGTGGCCTCTTATATCGCTGTGTTTCGGTTTTGTTTCGTAGGAGAGAACAAACCATTTTGAACTTCGTGATCCAATTTGAAAAGGTAAGCCTAAAAGATGAAGGTGGCGAATCGCAACCGCTGAACATTCGCCAATTTTTTTTTCGTGAGAAAACGGCTACAGGCCACATGAGCGCACATGAAGCCAGAAGTATGAAGATTAGATGAATCCGTGTACTACCCATCATTCCCAGGTTCGCTGATGTGCCCTGCGTTGTAGCTCCCACAGATACTAGCGCCAAAGTTCTCTCTGGTGTATATTTCAGGCAAACTCTCCTTTCTCGGCGAGAAGAAATTCCTGTTGCAGAGGTCTTGTCCCTTAGTGTTGGTGTTTGATGTACATGTGAAGCTTGTCTTTCGGGCCGTCTAGTGTTAATTAGTAAGCTTATGCATTGGTTATTATGGACAGCTATGACGTGCAATTCGCACAACGAGTACGTATTCACGCCGTATTTGTGCTTTCTCTGTGTACGTGTAGTCTTAATAGGTACATCCGGCTGCTTGTAAAAAAAAGTAATTTGTATATGTGTATGAAAATGTGAAATAGAACATCAACTGTAGTGTTGCGTCTGTGTGTCTATGACTGAAATATGTTTTGTTGTTCTCGTAAAGGTGTGCCTACTACAAAAATATATTCACTTGTGCAGAAAATAACCTCCTGTGATAGAACAGTGTTTTCTAAACGCACAATTGTTATCTGAACAGCGGCACATACTTTTTACATTTTGCCAGGAACCGGTTACCACTGTTCCATAGCACAGAGCAAAGTACTCAAAGTCGTTTACCACGTGCTCTGTAGAGTGCACTTAAAATGAGAGACAGTTCCAGTAAGTGCACTTAACATGACCACATGACCAGTGCCTAAATCGTGTCCCATTTTTTTGAAGCACACATGCTGCACATTCGCTAATAGTAGCATTGGCTGCTTATCAATGTTATTCTGCTCCATGCTTATCGTGCTACGGGGTTGACGACGGGAATGCGTCGCCGTGGGAGGCGCAGTTCTGACAATCCTAAGTTGTTATAGAAAAGTGAGGTGTTTTGCATGTGACTTCACCAACCTTTGCTGCATCCTGAGCAGAGCGTCGAGTGTGTCCTGCTGCTGTCGAACCTGGACCTCGAGCTGGGCCACGTCCTGCCGTAGGCTCTCGGAACGCGAAGACACCGACAGCGAAGCCAGCCGGTCCACTATCACCTGCTCCCCGAGGGTGGGCTGCTGCAACTGAGAGTCCTGCGATAGGACACACAGTCGTTGCTCGCTTGCTATTTAAGGTTCGTTATTCATGGACATTATAAAGATAGCAAGGGTTAGCAAAGCGTTTTGGTAGAGACTAATACTCATTGTAACTTAGCGTATCAAAACTAAGAAAAAAAAACTGTTGTGACAGGACACAGTGTGATACGTGTGTAATACAGCACAACAAATAAGGCTTAAGTTCAGATGAACTTGGAAGCTGGAACAGATAGAAATACCCCCACCTTCCCGAAGAGAATCATGAGGACATGCTAATGCATTTCTTGCGCTTAGAGAGGCTACCGTTGCCGTCAGACACTCGCCTTCATCGACTTCTATCACCGCCTTGATGGGCACCCAGCCAGCGAACGGTCGAGAGTGAGGAGCGAGTGGACGGGACAGTGGGGTGCCAACGTTCGTCTCGAGCACACATTATAAAGATAGCAGGGGTTAACAAAGCGTTTCGGTAGAGACTAATACTGATTGTAACTTAGCGTATCAAAACTAAGAAAAAAAACTGTTGTGACAGGACACAGTGCGATAAGTGTGTAATACAGCACAACAAATAAGGCTTAAGTTCAGATGAACTTGGAAGCTGGAACAGATAGAAATACCGCCACCTTCCCGAAAAGAATCATGAGGACATGCTAATGCATTTCTTGCGCTTAGAGAGGCTACCGTTGGCGTGAGACACTCGCCTTCATCTACTTCTATCACCGCCTTGAGGGGTGCCCAGCCAGCGAACGGTCGAGAGTGAGGAGCGAGTGGACGGGAGAGTGGGGTGCCAGCGTTCTCGGCTCGGCGTTTCACAGCTGCGTCTCGAGCACACATTCCCGGACGTTCTTAAGTGGGTTCGCGCCGCAGTTATTAGGGGAACAAGAACGAGCTTTTGTGATGGTTTGGAGCATTGAACGGCCCACTCGCTACGCTATTCGCATTGTGTGACGACTGGTTGTTCTTTCTCTGATGTAAAACGCTTTATAAGTCGTATTAACGCGATTGCTTTCCCAACATCAAGCCTGCCTAAAGCAAGTTTGACAACAAGTCATAAGCACCAGTGTAGCTCAGTGATAGCACCGATCCTGGTAGCGGTTTTCAACGAAGCCTTAGACATAAAGACTCTGCCACCTTCTTTTCTGCTATCTCATACTATTTTAATTCCAAAAACTGAGGACGCAGTTAAATTACGTGAAGGGAAATCGTACAGGCCAATCAGTCTATCAAATATCGACAACAAGATTTTGATGAAAGTGCTAGCAAGGATACTGCAGGCAGTTATTAATGACATTGTAGGCGACCACCAGACATGTGGGATTAAAAGGCGCGCTATATTCACAAACATTCACAAGGCACGAAGTGTATTGGAGTGCTGCGATGCCACAAACGATCACATCGCGATGATCCAGATAGATTTAGAAAAAGCATTTGACCGAGTACCACACGAAATTCTTTTTCTTTTGTTAGACAATGTCAATATTGGCAAAGTAATTCGAGATACAGTTCGAATGGCATATACTGGATGTAAAACTCGGCTAATCATCAACAAAGTTCTTGGGAAACAAATTGATGTCAGACGTTCTGTACGACAAGGCTGCCCTTTGTCTTCCCTCCTATTTTCAATTTATATAGAGTCGTTTTGCCAAAAAGTCATGAAAAGCAGTAACATAGTGGGGTACAAACTACAAAAAGCTGAAGTACGGGTACTGGCATACGCAGATGATATAGCTGTGTTTTGTAAAGATTATTATAGTATCGCTGAAACCATAAAAATTGTGAACCTTTATTGGAATGCAAGTGGTAGTTTGGTAAGCTGGAGCAAGTGCCTGGGTTACTGGCACGGTGAATGGCCTGTGACTCCACAATTTGTGGCTGGTATTTCATGGACTACTACTCCGGTTCGATACCTAGGTGTGCCATTAGAATATTATTGTGACAGTGAACCGTACTGGCGGCGTCAGGCCGTGGAGCTACGAGAAAAAGCTGAACAACTCAATGGTTTCAAGCTATCAATTTTCGCCAGAGCGACCTTTTGTAACGTATTTTTAGTCAGTAAGCTCTGGTATGTCCTTCAGGTAATGCATTGTTCACGTGTGAATCTACAGAAGCTTAATCGAATATTTGCTGTTTTCTTGTGGGGTTCTTCTTGGGAGCGAACAAGTAGAACTAACTTATTCAGACGGGTTCGCTCTGGAGGACTTGGTATGTGTCATTTATACCTTCGTCAGTTAGTTAATCGGTTTATGTTTTTCCGAAATAATTGAGACCCATTCATACGTACTGTTATACAGCTTAGGCTTGGAAGACGGTTGCCAGAATTTGTGGTAGCATCTGTTCACATGAAGGCAAGTATTAGAGGTTTCCTAAAAGAAGTTGTTGATTCATGTCTCTTTCTAAAAACGCGTTTTTCATTGGAATACCTCAGTACGGTTTCGCGTAAAAAGTTATACAAAAATTTAGTAGAAACAGCTCTTCCTGTTCCCCTGTATAGAACATTATACCGTGTAGGCCCAGGCCAAAATGTCTTAAGCCGTGTAAATAAAATGGAGGTATCACCTGGAGCGAAATCCTTTTTCTTTAAGTTGCACACTGGGACCTTGCCCGTGAAAACATGGATGCAAGAAAAAGGCTTATTCGTTCCTTGGGGTGTTGATTGCCTTCTCTGCAAAAAGCCGGAAACAATTGAACATGTTTTCCTGGACTGCTGGGATGCAGTCTTTTTTTGGGATGTTCTCCAAAGGACTTTGAAAAAGGATCTGCCTCTCGATGCCTATGGCATCAGATTTCTACCAGTATCAAATGAAGAAGGAATACCTTTCGAACTAGTTATGTTACTGGGCCTGCACGGTATGTGGCAATCTAGAATGGCGGTGCGCCATGCTGATGTTAATACACGTCCGGTTAAGCAATACTTCTTTCAATCTGTCTGTTCGTTCGTGGAATCACAAAAGGTTCAACAAGAGGTGCCCGAATGGCTTCATCAAGTAGAAAGCCTTCTACAGATGAAGGAATTTTAAAAAGCCTGTTAAATATGATGCTTTTTACCTCTTTTTTTGTTTCATGTTTCTACTTTGTTTGATGTATATATGTTTGTGAATGTTGTATGTAAACAGGCAATAAAGAAAGAAAAAAAACCGGTGTAGCTCAGTGGTAGAATACTGGGCTTGCACCCAGCGGACCCGGGTTCGAGCCCCACTATGCCATTGGTGCTAGGTCATGCATGCCTAAAACAAGTTCGACACGTTACAAGCACCAGCGTAACTCAATGGTAGAATACTAAGCTGACACCCAGTGGACCCGGGTTCAAGCCACACTGTAATCTGTGCAAGTTTTTTTTTTTGATGTGGTTACGGTCAACGGCGGCAATGGCGGAGAACCACTGCGCGTGACCCAGAAAGTGATCTCATAACTGTTCTGCTGTAAAAGTGGTTAACAATTTTGAGTACTTCGTACTCTACATGGTAGGGCCGTCCCGTGCGCCTCACACTTGATGAGGCCATGTTGACAGTCGCTCTCACGAACCGTTCTGTTTAGAAGAGATGTTTGACGATTTAGAGTACCACGTACTCTGCCGTGGGAGAGCTTTAAGCTGTCCCCGTAGGTTGGCAGAAACGCCAGCGTATCATGCTGTGTTTAGAAAAAAAAATGTTTAACGATTTTGAGTACATGGTACTCAACTATGGGAGAGCAGTAAGCCGTCCCTAAATAAATGCCACGCTGTGTGTGGCAACGATTTAGAGTAAGAGGTACTCTACTATGGGAGAACATCAAGCCGTCCCGTGGGCCTCGAGTGCCCAGTACAGAGATAGAGCCCGAAAAGGATACATCCTCCCCAGAGAAAGGTACGGAGAAGGGACCTTGCAAAGCTTGTCCCATGGTCTGTATGCCTGCCCAAGTTCAGGACTACCAAGCATGCTTTCGGTTATTTAACTTCAACATAATCAGTCAGTTATTTACCTGCGACGAACATATAAACTAGTCAGTCTTCAAAATCTTTACGCTTACAACATTCGCAGGACAATAGAAAAAGCGCTGAAGCAAAAAAAAAAAAAACTGTACTATGCGGCTTAGCCAACCTACAACCAACGGAGGATACAGGTTGGCCCATTTAATGACAATTTCTTTTTCTCTTACTGTTTTCTTTCTTCCCTCTTACATCTTTATGCTCCCATTCACCCAGCGCGGGGTAGCAAGCCGGGCATGGTCCTGGTTAACCTGCCTGCTTTCTCTCTTGCGTTGTTTCCTTTCTTCCTTCTTCTTTCGGAGAATAAATATGATACCCGTAAGCATAACTTTTGGTTGATAGCATGGTCACGCACAAAGTATGATGGCCAAGTGCTACGCATTGTTATTCCCAGATTGTTAAAATATCTAAGCAGTATTGATGTAAATATACAAATTACAGCCACAAAAGTGTTGTATATTGGTTCTTATAGACTGTATCATGCATGTTGTTCACCCTGCTGTATCAGTTTGACCTATTATTCATGTAAGACATGTATGCATGGTCTCCTCCAGCTTCTGGCGTTTTTTTTTTCCTTCACGAGAACCGCGGCATCCTGTTTACATTTGTACTAAGTAACACTTTTGATTGATATTATTATATTTTTGTATATTACGCTTTTGTTGCCCCCGACGCGGTGGTCTAGTGGCTAAGGTACTCGCCTGCTGACCCGCATTGTGGGATCGATTCCCAGCTGCGGCGGTTAGATTTTCGATGAAGGTGAAAATGCTGTGGGCCCGTGTGCTCAGAATGTGTTTGTGAGAGACGCCGCGGCTGCAGGGCTCGGGAAAGTCGAACCATCTCGTGTTCCTTAGCGTACGCTGATGCCGCACAACACACGGGCCAGTGTGATTTCGCCTCCATCGAAATACGACCACCGCAGCTGAGATCGAACCCGTGACCTTTGTTCCGGTAGCCGAGCACCTATACTGTTTAGTCGTGGCGCACGCACTTAGATTGTTATGTGTCATTTTGACGTCTCGTGTATACTACGTTTAAACTCGTATTACGAGTATTGTTCACTCGCGGTTACGAGTATAGCGCACATCATGAGCAGCGCTGCCAAACTTTTTCCGGCAAGAACAAGAATAAAAAAGAAAAAAAAGTGTGGGCGGAGTCGCACCTTGACGCCACGTCGAGAACAAACGGGTTAAGATCATTTTTTTTTGCAATTCAAGAACAATCATAAATGAACTTCACTGGACAAACTAATATACATTTATTTAATTTATGTCGTCAATGTTGATCCACTGCTAAGGCGGCGGATTATGTCGAGCGTCTTGCGGCGAGAAAGGAAAGAGGCGAAATATATCAGCAGCGGTTAACGCGCAAGATCCATGCACGAGACTTGGCGTGCCTTCGTCGTCTTCACTTTTGTCGCTTTCTTCTATAGACACGGCTGGCCAACCCTGCCGTTACGGGTTTCGTGGAAATTCTTGCGTTATAACATCGTTCAAAGGAGCACGCGTCTTTTGTAGCTGTCTTTGTTTTTCCCGCGAACATCATCGCAATAACGTCATAAATTTTGACGATCTATTACGTCACGACCCGATTATTTTGGTAATGTCGGGCTGAGGACGATGCTTCTGGCAGTCACTTTTTCTCAAGGCATTTTCTCTTAAACAGGTTCAGGAGTCGCATTTAGGAAGCACATGAAAACATAACCTCAAGTATTTCAAGAGCGACCCTAGGTGTAGTCATTACGGTTTTAGAGTTGTTTGTATAGGGCAGTAATTCGGTTTAACTCTTCAACCAATGATCAATTAAAACATAGCACAACGAACACACCACATGAGACGAAAAAGGGCTGGCATGCCTCATCCTATGCTCTCGTCCGTTTTCGTGGGCTGCTTTTTTTTTTTACAAGACCATGACTTACAAAAGATTCCTAGAAGTGCACGGGCCCACTAAGGAGGTGCGAGTCTAGTGGTGTCCATTGAATAGACTTGTCCCCTTCGGCGGAGCGCGTTTAGTTAAGCAAAAAAGAAGCAATCAGTCGTGACGTCATGGCACTTTTGACCACGTCGACGCATCGAGCCCGCCAGCAGATTGCTAGTGTAAAGAACAGAAAAGCAGACAAAATGTACAGCAAGATGACTCTTAAGCAAACTTGACAAGTCTGAACTTGCGTATGAACGAGTTGAGATGCTTGAACAATGCAGTGAATGCATACCGACTTTCCAGGTGAGTCAGCTGGGCGGCTGCGTCAAACCTAATTCAAGGGATAACGTGACTTAGGTTCATTCACGGCCTCAAGGGCGTGCGTCCCAAAACGAATCTTTGCGGGCAGCAGTCGTGGTGGCGAAACTCGTTCCGTCTTTCTCAGGTATTAGGGTTAACGCGGTCGTCCCACTGACGCCCCTGGAAGGTCGTTACGCATTCACTGCACCACTCTTCAAACATCTCAACACGTCCATATGCTCGTTCAGACTTGTCAGTCAAGCTTGTTGAAGGTCCTGTTGGTGTGAATTCCATCCACTTACCCCCGTATTCTAGAACGTCCCTTCACTCAACCCTTCACCTTCACTTGAGAAAGCCGATGGGAGCGCAATATCTAAGAACGGCAAGTTACTGCATATCAGGGATAATCTGCTGTGATTCTTGAGTAGCGCAGCGTCATTTTCAGCGGAGCAGTGGCGCACTGCTCAACTCTGTCAAGTGAAGGGTGAAAGTCGAGTCGAGGAGCATTTGTGAATACGGGGGGATAGTTTCTTTTTATGCCGGGTATGTGCTGGCGGGTTCGGTGCGTCAACGTGGGCAAGAGCGCCATGTCGTCACGACTCACCGTATTTTTGCGTAACCGAATGTGCTCCGACGAATTTGATATGTCCACTGGTTGGATACCGCGAGAATAGCTCCCCTGAAGTCCCTAGATAAAACTTCTAGGGACCTCAAGTTCCCCCGCATCACTGCGTCACCTACCGTGATGCGGTGGGTTTTGACGCTATCGGCGCCAGCGATTGGCGACGGCGCGTTTAGATAACGCGCTCAGCATTCCTAGGCTTTCCCAACTCCTCTTCCACATCTTGCCTAGAACTGGGACGATAGCAAAGCTAACCAGAAGTGTTTACGTCGGTGCTCAGGCTTCACGATGAATAAATAGATAAATGGGACGAAATCTTTCCGGTACCGTCGTAGTGGAATGCGGCGTAACTATAGAATGTAGCAGTGCGTTTTCAACGGCGCTCACGCTTCGCGCTGTAGGTGAGGGCCGCGTGAGTGGATTCTGCGAGCGCTTCCTTTTCACAAAACGTTGGTTGCGACACCGCATGAGCCTGTGTTGGAAATCTCACTCGAGTTTGTGACGAGTAGGACAAGTGCATGCTGTTAATGTGAGTGCCAGAGACGCCGAAGTTGCTTCAATGTTAACTGGAAAAGTTTTGCGGTGGCGGGCCTTCAGCGTGCTACTCGAGAGCTGTATACGGTGTAGAAAGTGATGTGTGATTGTTGGACGAAGGTGCCCTACTTCGTCCGGTTAACGAACCAGGCGGTAACTTGCGGACCGTCGGCTCCTGAAGAGCTTCCGTGTAAGTGGTGAGTGAAAAGCCCTTGTGAATTCGTGCTGGTCAGCTGCGGCGCTGTCGCCTGTGTGCATAGACTTTACGAGCGGAGCGGGTTGACTTGCGTAGCTTTTGTCGCCAGAAGGAATCCAACGGCATGGCTGGTGGAGTAAGTGCGGTCCGTAGCTTTTCCCTTACAGGCGTTGAAATGAACAGTGTCCGCATGAAGTTAGCGCTGGTGCTAGCCTATAGCTCATCGCCTTGCTTACTTTTGCAGGCGCCGAGTGTCTTGCATTAAAGAGGCACTAAAGAGAAACAAGGGCTTGTTTTAGGTTGATAAACTGCAGTCTGAGAACTCTGTTATAAGTTCATTAACAAAACATTTTCAACTTTCGCGCCGAAATCTTTGAGCGTGACCTCTCAACATTGCAACATAATTTTTTTGTATTTTAGCCAGATGGACTCGATGAAATTTTCTGAAACATCATATGCTTACTATGTTAGGTCTATCGCACCCACAGAGGACAATTTACAGTCGCAACCGTTTTGAGAGTGAACACAGGAGCACGTGGCTTCCGGTACTACTAGCGCCGTTAGGTGAGACGTCACAGTATCTGTGCGCATGCGCGAAGAGACTAGCTCGTTTCGCGCACATGACGTCACCGCAGTGCTCGTGTGTCGTCTGCTAGTTGGTTTTCGGCATCCTTGGTGATCGTATTAAGATGGCAACTAAAGTTTGGATGCCTTCAGTTCAAACGGTGTGTTACTTATGCTTCTCGTGTCGCTTGGTTTTCGTCTTTTTTCTTGCAGTCATACAACGAACAGCCAAAGAACACAAACACCCGAATTTATATTTGGTACACGTTCCACGAAAGACCGATTAGTTTAAGGAAGTTATATCAGTAATATGGAATAGTTTTGCTCGATGTTACAACAGTATTAGGCCATGTTCCCATTCGAAAAAGTAAAATCACTGCTGCCATTGTGGAATGCAGTAACGATGCGCTCGAAGATTCAGCCCCTCTTGGCAATCCTCGAGTTGGTCCGCAGTCACCGCATGGACATGGCGTCACACTATATCTTCTTTTATGTGTATTGCCACACATTTTCACAAATGATCATGCTTGCCAGAAGAGCACCACGATCCGGCGATTCTCGGTGTGCTCGTTCATAACTTTTGCTGTGTGCACCAGCGCCGTACAATCTGGAAAACAAATGTCTGTCGAGAAAAGCACCCAGCGACAAACCAACGATGATCATGAAAACACAGCATATTTGGAAGTTTATTCGCGATTCGTATGGGGCACAACTGGAAGTTCAACGTTCTCGCAACGTTGAAGCACACGGCATCCATACTGCAGTTCACCTGCAGTAGACGACGCACGCTAGCTCGCCTGACGTCATGCGCGTGATTGTAGCATTCGCACAGCCAGGCCGCACAATGCGTGGTAAAAGCACCCGTTTCCAGCGGGTGTCAGAACATGTGATTATCATAAAGCCTCACACGCTACTGCGCCCTATTCCTTTAATGCCACGTAGTCGGTGCATAGGAAGTTCGAAAAGTGGAGAACCCTGATTGCGCCTATGCACACAAACTACAGCTCCAAATGAAACAAGACATTTTGTTCGGGGTCGGGTGTACGTTAGATTTCTCGGTCAACATCGCCTTACCCCTGAGGATACGGATTCATCGTCGGCCCTGGGTGGAACGAAGGGATGCCGAGGGGGCGTGGCCGGGATGACGCCACTTCCGGTCGGGTTGCGCGGATCCGTGCTGCAGAGCGTCCGCACGAAGCCAGCCAGGTCGCTGCGCGCATTCACGGCGCGGCACGACGATCCCACTGCCTCGTAGTGGTCCGCCTGCTCCCGGGCCTGGAAAAATCAATCAATCAACCAATAAATCAATCAATAAATCGTTTTTGCAGCTATAGCTTTTGCAAATAGTCACGTATACTAAAGGAACTAGCCAACACGTCGAGGTGTCTTGCATGTGTACTTGCATTTGTTGTTATGACGAAACACCGCTTTCGATAATAAGAAGACTGAAGTTTCCAGAACGAGAAGACTGAAATCGAAGTATTACGTCTACGGCTCTCGCGCTAATGACATATGGTCTTGCTAGTCGGCACTTTTTTTTTATTGGTCAGCACTTAATGTTTAGATTACACAAGCCAGCTTCACTACTGCACATTAGCGTTCCTCGAAGACCGTCGGAGACATATGCCGCTGAGAACATGCGTTTTCAAATAATATTTATGAACGCTAGTTCTTATTTTTTTTTTCGGCGCCCATACTTTCAGTCGACAACATCGTAACAACTTCCCGGAACATCAGAAAGCCTATTGACAATTTCGTAATTTTATTTCTGAGATCTAATACGAGCGCGTAATCACTTAAGAGAACTGTTATACAGACCCAGAAGTGTGATAATTGCTCAACGGGTACTTTGAAAACAATGCGGGAGAAAAGCGAAATCTACACTCACTCCTTGTGCAATGCACTATAGGAGGACATATCGGCGCCCAATTACAAAATATGCGGCAACCAAACGAGCGCGCAAAACACGTACAAGCTGGTCATAGGCGTGTAGGAATACGCAAGACGCGTATACAATAGAGTTATAGTATACCGGGCTTACCGTGATACCGGGCGTACCGTGATACCGGAATCGAAGTGCGCATGCACAGATACGTACGTTACGCGTACCGCTTACCGTACGCGCGGTATTTTTCCAGATTTAAGGTAGCGCATAGGTACACGTAGTGTACGTAAACATGGCGGCGCTCTCGGACGCCCGCTTCGAAGTGATTTTGGCGTAGTTGTTGAAAGATTCACCTTGTTCGCAGCAAACGACTGTTCAAAGTGGCTTCGCTTGCCTTCAGTTAGCTTCGATGACTGAGTATTACGGATAAGTTGGCGTAGTTTTTGAGATAGCTTCCCATTTCGAACGCGCCTAGGCCTATCTACAAGATCAATGTAAACAAATCGGCAACGTATATGTTTTCGCGTTTTGTACGTGGTTCATGTTTATTTACTTTTATTATCACAAAAATAAACTTCTAACAATGCTTCGCGCGGTGGCACAGGCAAACATTCTCGTTTTATTTTCATTTTCACTGTTTAACTTATTAGCCATCTAAAAGGTGGCGCCACCATCCCACTTAGCGCACGTAAACCACGTAAGCGCTATTTCGCTAAACTATAAGACGCTGCCTACAACGAACGTTTGCTGCGCGGTAGCGTCATTCCCTTAACCTACGCTATCACGCTAACGCTAAACTATAACTGTCTAATGACCGAGCGTGTGCACGCGGGCTGCCGAATGTGCTGTGTTTTTTCTCTTTTCCCTCTCTGCTCTCTATCTCCCCCATCCCCCTCCCATGCGCAGGGTAGCAAACCGGCTGCCTATAGGCTGGTTAACCTCCCTGGCGTTCTTTTCCTCCTGATTTCTTTCCTTCCTTCCAAGACGCGTAACCATCGGGGAAGTAAGACAAGACAGAAAAGGGCGCCACTCGCATTCAAAATGACTAAGTTCGCAGCAAAGCAGCAAATATTTGGCCATGGCGAAAACTGTGCCAATCGCATCGTCTCATACACTCATTACGTTGCGCAATAGATGCAGATCATCGCGGAGCCTTTTTCTAATCTACAAAATGTCTCATGGATCTTATGTACTTGTCTAAGACGACGTGAACGCCATCTATCGTTTCTGCTCAGTGGATTGTAATGATGTAAATATATTCAATTAGATCGAAATTTCGCATTCGGAATTGTCTGCGGCAGAGTTCAATTGGACATTATTTCGTTGCATCGGTGTTCATTTTTCCCACATTTCCATCCGATATTAACTCTGAACGGCCTCGAGCGATTCCCCGATCGCCTTCCAATTTGCAGGAAACCGAAGGTCGAATGGCTGTGAAATCGGACAAGGAAAGCCAAGATCATTAGAAAGCAAAACAAAGGGACGTTATAGATCTATCTACGCCTGATAACGTCAAAGCAGGCAACGCACTTGAAATAGTGATAGGTTCTAATATAGTCTCCGGTATTGTATGTGGAACAAATTTCGATTATTGGAAATTCTTATTCGCTAAGCTAACCGAACAATGCTGTTCGCGTTAATAGGAGACTTTGCTAATTAGAATATCTAGGTGGGGCTAATTGACGTGTTCTCGTAAACTATAGTTAACCGCCGACAATTAGGGTGAAAAAAACAACAGCACGAGTGAGCAAAACGGATCGATCGCGTGTGTCCTGTTTTGTGTTCAGCTTTTTTCCCTAATTTTGCGCAGTTAACAATCGTTTACAAGATCGCGCTCGATCTATTTTGTGTGTCTTTCTTTTGTGTTGACCTTTGCCCTATAGCATTTTGCACTGAATTTGTTTACAAGCAGACCTTGTGATTTGTGTAATCAGCGCCTGTTCTTTCGTCCTGATCGCTTGTTCCGGTGTGGAAGAAAACGGTCACTATTTAATCGTCGCTTCCAACGCGGCACCCATTAAGTGTGGGCTATATGTAATGCCAAGCAGAAAAAGCACGCTTTACAGAAATAAACGAGAAATGTTTGTAGTTGGTGCGTTAGGCGGTTGAGCTTGATTGCGCGAGATCTTAACACGAAGCTTCCGGGATGCACGACCAACGCGAGCTCATCTGGCTTTGCCTTCGGTATGTGCCCATGGGAATTCGCAGCTGGTCTGTGAGCTTTCGTAATATGGCTAGCCTTGCCTTGTACTGACTCGAGATTCGCAGAAAATGGGTGGCCGTTATTTCGGGCAGAGCCAGCGCGCGCAAGATAGATAGATAGATAGATAGATAGATAGATAGATAGATAGATAGATAGATAGATAGATAGATAGACATAGGTAGATAGATAGATAGATAGATAGATAGATAGAGAGATAGATATAGATAGGTAGATAGATAGATGTATTGATTGATTGATTGATTGATTGATAGAGGTATGGATAGATTGATAGAGGTATAGATTGATAGAGGTATAGATAGATTGATAGAGGAATATATATTAATAGAGGTAAATATAAATATAGGTATATATATAGGTATAGATAGATAGATAGACTGATAGAGGTATAGATTGATAGAGGTATAGATTGATAGAAGTATAGATTGATAGAGGTATAGTTTGATAGAAGTATAGATAGATATAGCTATAGATAGATAGATAGAAATGGTGAAAGTACCTATGGTTCGCCAAGGAATGCTTCGCATTAATAAAGTGCAACATAGGCAACTACTCGCTGACCACTTTGTGTGAAATTGACTCTCAGAAAAAGTAGTATTTAGTGGGATTTTCCACAAACGCGTACCCACCGTGTCGACTGCACCATCTGTGTATTCTTTCTGGCAACAAGAGTCAGATTTATGAGATCTTTTCTTAGGGCATGTACATGTTGTCACGTCATTTTGACGTCACGACGCATGCGTCATTGTGTGTGCTATTAGAGTACATGAAAAAGACGGGGAGGAAAATTGCATTAAAAAAAAACACGAATTATTGATAGCGATAGCAAGAAATGGCTCGTGCTTTTTTCCATGACGTCATAGCTGTACGGATATCACTGACGTAATTAAAGATGGCCTTTCGCCCGCCATTCGGATCCTGTAATCGCACCACTTAGGTCCGCCGTTCTGACCCTAACTTAATGAAAGAAGGCTTTGTCATTAATGATAATTGTCGGTATTGACCCCCCGAAACACGATACCATTATGAGATACGCTGTAGTGAAGGGCATTGGAAATTTAGTCCACGTGAGCTTATTTAATGGGCACCTAAGTGTGTGTACGTCGGCATTGAGCATTTTCGGCTCCATTGGAAATGCGGCCGCCGCAGCCGGGGATTCGATCCCGCTACCTTCGGGTTAGCAGTCGAGCAACATAACCACTAGACCATTGTAGATAAAGATGACTTTGTTAACTAAAATAAGGATAACGATCTCATGCACTCCGTAGCGAAAAATTCCAGATTTATTTCATGTACCCGTGCTTTTTTTCAACTGAGGTGCTCCTAAATTAGGCGCGGGAAATTTTCAGATTTATTTGGACTATCCGTAGTTCTTTCAGGGGTTCCGAAATCAAGAGCATAAAATTTCAGGCTTTTTTCGGCGACCCTTGATTTTTTTAGGTGCTCCTAAATTAAGTACGGGGAAATTGAACTACCCGTAGTTCTTTCGGGAGGTCCTAAATTCAGCACAGATAATTTCAGATTTATTTGGACTACCCGTGATTCTTCGAGGCGTTCCTAAATTAAGTGCGGAGAATTCCAATCTTATTAGGATTATCCATGGTTCTGTAAGGGGCTCCTAAATTATGATTTATTTCGACTACGCGTTTTTATTTGAGGTGCTCCTAAATTAAGGGCGGGGAACCTCAGATTTTTTTGAATACCCGCGATTATTTCAGGTGCTCCTAAATTAAGTACGGTGAACGTGATACACAGTTCGATTGCCCGTGGTTCTTTCAGGTGCTCCTAAATTAAGTGCGGGGAGTTTTAGGTTTATTTGGACCACTCGTGGTTTTTTCAGGTGTTTCTAAGTTAAGTGTGGGGAATGCCAAATTTATTTGGACTACCCGTGGTTTTTTGAGGGGCTCCTAAATTAAGTGCGTTGAATTTCGGATTTATTTCGAGTACCGGTGCTTTCTTTAGGTGGTCCTAGATTAACTGCATAAGTATTGTCAGTTTCATTTGCTGCCCGACGAAATGTGGTGGCCGTGATATAAAGTCACGCGGGCGTCTTCAAGTTTAGCCGAGCTACGCCTTATTTGGTAAATTGTCACGGTAAACTCGAGCTTCAACATACCGGCGTTGGTGCTAAGAAAACACCAAAGCCTTGTACTGCATTCTTGTAATTGT